AACAAACAAAAACACTAACATACACCCCACACACAGTTTTAAAAGTGGTAGATTAGCCACGGGCCAGGGAGAAGAGGAATGTTTTTGTCTGACAAGCCTCTCTGTGGAGAGCATTCCACAAACAGGGAACCACCGCAGAAAAGGCCCCCAGAAATGAACTGGCAGCCAGCCCAGTACTGGTGTTATATGCTTAAACTGTCTTGCCCAGTGAGCAACCAGGCCACTGAACTCTGCACCAGCTGAAGTTTTTCGAACTGTCTGCAGAGATAGCCCCGCATATAACGTACAGTCATACCTCGGGTTGAACTCACTTTTTGGGGTGTGCTCCGCAGCGACCCGGAAGTAACAGAGCGCATTACTGTACTGCAGTAATCCAAACGAGAGGTTATCAGAGCATAGACAACACAAGTTAGGCTATCCCTGTCCAGATAAGGCCACCAGCAGAAGCTGATGAAGGCACTCCGGACCACTGAGGCCACCTGAGCCTGAGGCGACAGCAATGGGTCCAAAAGTACCAAGCTGCGTACCCACTCCTTCAGAGCGAGTGTAACTCCATCAAGAGCAGGCAACCTCTCGCCCATGTGTAAGCAGGTAAGATTAAAGATGGATTCCTTGTTGTTTTATTCTCACCTTGTAAAATAGATTCCCTTTCTCGAGTCCAGGCATCCCCAAACTCGGCCCTCCAGATGTTTTGGACTACACCTCCCATCATCCCTAGCTAACAGGACCAGTGGTCAGGGATGATGGGAATTGTATTCCCAAAACATCTGGAGGGCCGAGTTTGGGGATGCCTGCTCTAGTCTTAGGAATGTATATATGCATACACACATCCTACACCTTTACGCTCAAACTCAGGACAAAAGGGAGAAACGTGCTAAGAGGAAGGCATGTTTGGCAAACCCTCACCGTGATCAACTCCCACCCGGGAAACCTATGTCCTCACTGTGGAAGGACGTGTGGATCCACACGTCACTTACGGACTCACTGTTTAGACCATGTTCATGGAAGCTAATCTTACTCGGCTACAAGCGATCGCCAAAGAAGAAGCTATGTAGGTTGTTGATGGGAGACCCTGCATTTGTAAACTTATGCTGCAATAAGTTAATTAGACTTTAATTAAGGTGCTTACAGGACCATTTGTCTTTGTATTCCTGCTCACTCTGAAAGAGGTTATTTAAACAAGTTGACTCTTAACCCCATACATATTTACACAGAAAGTCCCACTGAGTTCAACAGGTTGTCTATTCAGGTAAATGGGTATAGAATCGTATCATTAGGAATTGGGGAGGGGGACACAGGTTCTTCATCCCAGGCAGAAAGAAAAATCACAAACACAAAAAGGCCACTGCTTGGGACAGGAGAAATTGGGAGTTTATTCCAAAGTTTCTTGAAAGGGAGTAAAAGAAGAACTTCACAGGGGAAGTTGTAGGTTTCCAGTCACAAGATGCATTTGTCAAGATAAGCGATGCAAATTTCAACAAGGAAGAGACATTCAGAGTGTATATTGGGCGACACAGGAAATGCAGTATAGTACAGAACTGTTCTCCCATTTGTCAGATGCATGAAAATGTAAGCAAATATGTGGACTTCATAGGCCTCTTTCATTTGGTTAAGGAGGAAGCTTCTAAGTTTTGGACTTCTCCATTTAGTTCACTCCACCACCCTGCATTCACACATAAAAGCAGATTGTGATATGGGGGCGGGGACGGGAGTCAGGAAGCTGGCTGGACACATTGAAGCACTTTAGTTCCTCAAAGAAACACTCTTAACTATGTTTTGCAGTGCTTTTTTTCTGGGGGGACGCAAGGGTATGCATACCCCTAAACATTTTGTGAATCTTTGTACTTTTGTCCATTTACTACCTTTATTTTTCGCGATTTGAACTATAAAATGGTGGTTTTCTTGAGTCAAAACGAGAGTACCTCTAAACATTTTTAAAGAAAAAAGCACTGTATATTTGTACATGCATAATTTAACAATTTGCCCAACAGCTTCCATCCTGTTCCTCCCTTTTCCAGGAGGCTTTTCTAGCAAAACTCCTGGATGATATTATTACCTACAGTTCCCCATTTTCTTTTCTCTCCCCTAGCTGGAAAACTCTATTCCCAATAAGTTTTTCTTTTCCCCTATCCGGCTTACAGAGCACCAGTCCCATCTTCCTGCCACATCGCCCCCTCCCCGAGACTACCTTCCCCTCCTCCCTGTAACTCCACTTCACTCTACCCTTCGTCCCAGAGAAACTTCTACCGCAAACCCACGTTGAATCTTTCTCAGGCGCGCGGGGCATCCTTACCTGCAAGGAGGCTGCTGACCTCCTCGGGGATGGCGGGGGAGCCGTGCATGATGCGCCAGGTGGTCGCGCGCGAGAGGCAGCTGTTCGGCAGCTCCGTCAGGGAAAGACAACGGCCCCGCCCACTTTGCCCGGCTCCGGGAAGTTCAGTCAAGGAAGCCACAGGCGGCAAGGCGGGGGGCGTGGCTACACTACTTTAACCCAGGGGTGTCCCGCCTATTAGGTCGGTCTGCGCATGCTCATTCAGCCGTCCGCTTGTGTTACACTCAGTCACGACTTCCTCGTCTGCTATGGTCACAGGCGCCGCCTTGTGTGTCCAGGAAAGCGCGGGGGGGGGGGAGCACGTGACCCTTAGCCGATGCCGGGCGCCATTTTAAAAGAGGGCAAAACCCATTCCCGCAGGTGTTGGGGTTAAGCCCCGAGCGTTCCAAAATCAAAAATGGCGCCTTAAGCGCCTCGGCGCTATTGGACACAGCGATCGAAATAGGACACGCGGGAAGCGTCTGCAGCGGTTGGTTGAGCGTGGCATTGTTTTTGTTTCGTTGACACTTTTGGCCGCCATTTGGCGTCCTCTTCATTTCCCTTTCCCATCCCGCCTGGGTCACGACCCCGGGCTCTAGGCAGGGAGATGCGTTTACAGTGCCGTGCTGGGGGATTTCCTGGGTAAAAAAAATGAACGGAGAAGAGAATCCTGAGGCTCCTTTTCCCTTGTTTTGCTTCCAAACAGAATTTTTAGAGTTGTTTTTCCCCACCACTGTCATTCTGCTAAAAGAAAAACTTACTTAGCACACAAAATAAAACTGCTTTCGTTGGATTCTCTTAGAACGAAACATATATATATATGCCGTGGTTGGCATCCATCTGTCTCAAGAGACAATGGAGTATGCCTCAGGGGTGAAGTCCAACTGCTGCACTAGCTGCACCAAAGTAACCTCCCTGGAGTGCAAGCCCAGGCAGTGAGTATGAAGGTCCTGGGCTGCCCAGAGCAATGTGGTTGGCACCAGTTGGGCTGTAGGGGTTGCACGAAGGAGGTGTGCAAGGCGCCATCCAACCATTTTAGGGACTCCACTCCAGATTTGTGTAGGGTTTACTCCTTAAGCCTTTCCATCTCCCGAAGATATCACACAAGGCAGCAGTTGTTTAGGATCAGAGTTTACCTTCCCAGGTTGACGAGCCCCACCTGCCCCTATCAAAGAATAAAGTAGCAACTTACACTCTCCGGGTCTGAGAAAGAAAGGATCCTTGACAAAAGCTTAAAGATCTTTTTTTCTAATTCATGAATAGCATGTGTAAGGAGTTCTTGTGGTGTCTTGTTTGTGGAAACTAGAACTTACTGTATAAATTCAGGGGTGGAGGAACTGCCCTCCTAGATGTTAATCTACTCCTGAATCCTATCAGCCCCAGCTAGCATAGCCAATAGTGCAGAGACGATGGAAGGTATAGTTCAGTGACATCTGAAGTGTTACAGGTTCCCCACCCTTCCTTAGTTTTAATTCCTCCCTGCATGTTCCATTCAATTTCTGAGGCCTCCATCTTCCTTCTGTTGCATTATCTCTGTAAGGCCCAGTGGGCAACTACTAGGTGCAGGGGCTTTTTGGAGGGCAGCGGCTCTGTGCAATGCTTGGCTGAGATTCAGCAGATCCTACACCCTTTCAGGCATCTAGTTAAAGCACAGCTGTTCATAAAAGGCATTTGGTCGAATGCTTCTCTGACTGTTATTTTAATACTGTTTCCTGTGGCGGTTGTTCTTCATGATAAGCTGTTTGAAGTGTGGTTATTTTTATGCTGAATTATTTGAAATTTGATCATCTTCATGTTATTATGAGGTGTTCTGTAAACTGGCTTCAGCTCGGTTAGGTTTTAAAAGAAAGTGGAATATAAGGTTTCTTAAATAAATAAATAAATTGTGATTTTATTTGGGAGGGATGAAACAACACACACGAGGGTTTTTAGGTATTATTTTGATTCTGGTATGTAACAAACAATAAACAGCAACATACTAATGATGGAATAACAATGAACTGCATCCTTTGTTTATTAAGTTATGAATTGTCTCGTACTTCCTTCAAAACAGCAAAAAGACTCCAAAACTAAATAAGCATGCCCACTGATTAATCTGTTGATTAAGTGGTTAGCAGACAGGTGTAATTTTTGCAAAATTATTTTACTGAAATAATTGTCAATGTGTATATCTTTATTGTTTTAAAATAGATACATTTATGCCAGGAAAGCAAACCAACAGACAAACATACAATCAAATAAACAAACTATAAATTGACAGACAGTAGCATTATATGAAACAACACATTTCTTAGAACTAACATCATTTGTACTCCCAATGATGTGAACGATTGTAAAACTTGTAAAACAAGAAATTAAAAATGACTTCCAATTAGTCTTGCTGTTCTTTATCTGTTGATTATCTTATACCACACAGTTACATATCTCTTATATAGTTTCTGTTAACTTCCCTACAAACTTATATTTATACAATGCAAGGTTCAGTCTAATTCTGTCAAGAAGTTTCCTTTTATACCGTAATTTTTTATGTATTCTTTAAAAATTCTCCAGTCCTTATAGACTGTTTGTTTTGTTTGGCCTCTTATCCTTCCTGTCGTCTTTGCTAGCTGCAGGTATTCTACCATTAGGATTTGCCAATCCGCCGTGAAGGGACTGTGGGTATGCAGTTTTTCTTTCTAAAGGTTGAACCACAGGAATGACGGGGTGTCATGTAAGGCTGAAGACAGCTCATCCCTAGTTAGCAAAAAATAAAAATCCTCATGCAATTTGGCAAGTAAAACCATATGAGACAATTGAATAGCAACCCCTTTACAAAGATTTAAAAGCTATGAGATCATTGAGTCTAGAAGTGAAGTCACCTCTTTGGTGGAAGACGACCTACAGCTTATGTTTTACATTTTAAAAAACCAGGCCTTTACCCTAAGTATCCACAATTTAAAAGAACCAACTAATGGGACTGGAGAATGCTTGACACCTTGAGTGTCCTTGGTAGCAAGACAAGAATGGATGACTCAGTATGAAGAAGCCCTTTATCCCAAATACCTTTGGCAGCAGGAGATAAGCCCATTATTCAATTATTTGGCACTTATGTGGTGCTTTATATTGGAAGTCCTAGTCCGAAAGATCTGGAGGGTATCAGCTTTGGGGGAGGCTGATCTAGAGGTCCACAGTTCCCTGCCTTGGGTATAATAATAGATCCTGTGGTGGAAGGGAGGTGACAGGGTAGATTTAGCTGGAGAGGATTTTGAGAGGGAAAACGGTTGGCAGAAAGGATTAACAATTTCCCACATCATTCATTCTGATGGCAGTCTCCAGCAGCTTTTTATAATTATAATATATAAAAAAATAAACCTTGGGAAGGAAGTTATGTGAAAACCCCATGTAACATGCAGTTTGGCACAGTAATGAAAATCAAAGTTCTTCACTTCATGGGTTATGCCCTAGTATCTCTTCCACTTTTTATCTTTAATTAGACAGGAAAGCTATTTTAGATAGCAGTAGTATTTTATTATCCATTTTATTGCTGGCTTAACCAACATTCAAGCAGTTAAGTAACTGGCCCGTATAATGTCATACAATAATGGTAGCTGTGGGTTATAGTGATTTTATATTTGTGTTAATTGTTAATAAATGCCTATTCTTTCTGCCTAGGGAATATTTCTATTGTGTTTGTGTCTCCCTCCAATTGTTATAATGGCTATTAATGCGTACTTTAGGTTACACATTTCCATCAAAAGACTCTGGAAGCACGCTGTATGTACATAATAGACTAACAAGGAAATGGTATCCATTCCAGTGACTTTGACCTTTGGGGCTAATCTTAATCCCACTTTATTCTTTTAGTTTAATTTACTGTTTGGTCTCTCCTCAGAAACCAATTTAGGGTGTCACTTGAACTAACAAATACTATTTATATTGAAATTACTTTCCCTGTTGACATTATTATAACTGTTAGCTGCATGAGAGAAGGTGATCTGAAGTCAATTGAAAATACTCCAATAAAACGCAAGCACGTTGTCTTAAATGGTTTGTGGATCACGGCCCAACAACTCCAACAACAATGCAGTCAAGCTAAAATGGGGCAAGTTAAAAGAACTATATTGCCATGAAAGTTCATGAAAACAAATTGGCTTAAATCCATTAAGTCTCTCTTAACTCGCTTGTAGATTAGCAGCCTCAGCCTAAGGGTGCCTCGAAATAGCTCCTAACACATTAGCACCTTTCAACTGGGGAAAACTAATAAGCATACAATTCCCATCTGGCAATCCGAGGTGCTTTGAGATTTGCGCTGTGGTGTATTCTCTGATTCTCTGTCCTATCACTTTTGGGTTTTGGTTTGTAGGCAGCAGCTGTGGGAAAGACTCTTGACAGCACAGCCTTGTCACTTGCATATTCACCGATGAATACACAAACGATGTGGCAATTCCTTAGCTCAGGAATGGGTAATCTTTGGCCCTCCAAATGTTGCACTACAATTCCCATCATCCCTCACCATTGACTGTGGGGTGCAGGCATCTGAAATGTCATAGGTTTCCCATCCCGTTCAACCTATGAGAATTTATGCTTGTGTTTTTGCATTACCACTCATGTGTTACATGAACATAGCTATGGGGTTAGTCTTGGCAGTGTGGATAACGTTGCTCTGTGAGTCATCGCTTTATGTTCACACCTGACTTGTGTTTGGCCGCTACCTTAGCTAGTTTCCCAGCATGCTTTGCTGTACTGCTACAACACCACAATTTGCTGTCTTCCCCAAATGTCACTTGTAATGTCACTTCTCACAGCGCAGTTACCCATAGAATTTGGTCCAGCTGTACATTTTCTTTCAGTCTTCCGCCCTGACGGTTGAACCCAATGCCCACTTCAAGACTGTTATGCAAATAAAAATAAAAGTCTGGATCATGCTTTTTCTCCTCTTGACAACATATATGAAAAACACTTGAGGGGACAGATATTCTGTCCCTATTTCCTTAAACATATTTCCTAAAGTTCTTTTTTTAGAAATAGAATACCAGAGGGAGAGATGCTTTCTGTGATTTGAATTCTTTTGGCTTAAACCACGTAGACAGAACACAATTTTTCAACAAGCCTGGAGAAGTCTAGATGTAAGGAGATACCGCCTTCTAAATATAGTAATGCTAGGTGGGAGGAGGAATCCTTAAAGATATATATATATTTGCATCTGTTAAGAAATAAACTTTTTGTTCTTAAAAATGTGATGTCAAAGGTTGGAGCAATTACTAGAGCCAAATCTATCTGCTATCTTTTAGAGTTCAAATCTTAGAAGCCTAAGGGCAGTCCAAAATTGCATATTGTTATTTTAGTTTTGCATAATAGGACAGAGCAATCCACTGATCCAGTTGCATCTTGCAAAACTTGCACTCAATAACTTGGGGAATTCAAGAATTACCTAACTTTTCCTGTTATTTTGTATAGCACATTTCGTTCAATGGCAAGAGGAAAATCTATCTGAATTTCCTTACAACAGATTAAGAAAGAAGTGAAGTCCTGCTACTTATGTTATATGTTCTACCAATACAAGGTTATAACAAACAGTTGTCATACTCAGAGCTGCTCCCTTGAAATTAATAGATGTGACTAACATAGATCTGTTAATTTCAATGGGGCTATCTATTCTATTAGTGGTGTAGTGGTTAGAATGTTGGACTAAGACCTGGAGACCGGGGTTCAAATCTCCACCCAGCCATCATTTGGGCCACTCATGTCTCTGGTGACCTCCAACTTTTGTGGGGTTTATCACAAGCCTGCTCACCCAGGGTTGGAATTAGTTGTGTAATGAACTATCTTTTAGCAGCCCTGTTTTCAAAATATATTTATACCTCCAATTTATCTTAATTGTGTAATAGCTTCTGAAGCTGTCTGACTTTCTGCCAACTATTTTGTCTGTTCTTTTTCCTTGTTATCTAATGACTTGGAAACTAATGTATGTAATTATTTAGCATTGCCTCCAGGTAAGATTCTTTCCTCTGCCAACCATGAGGTTTTTTTATAGGCTTTAATAATCATGGCTTACACAAATTCTGCCTTGCGGGTATACATTAAAACAAAAGAAGCAAAATGTTCCAAATCATGAAATCTTCACCTGTGTTTTAAATTACGTCCCCTCACCTATTACATGTACCTGCCTATGGTACATTCAGCTAAAAATTGAAGGGCCAAATACACTGAAGAAAAGGGCTATTGCTCCTTCTGCTAGGAGCTGGCAGAAGTGGGGTAAACATTACACCAATCTGGAGTGTTGTCCCTAAGGCAGTTGGATGGCGCTTTGCACACCTCCTTCCTGCAACTCTTGCAGCCGAGCTGGTGCCAAACCCATTGCTCTGCTTTCCTTTGGACCACATCAATGAGGCTGAGAGGGAGGTCTTGTTGTCTGGGCAGCCCAGGACCTCCATACACACTGCCCAGGCTTGTGTCCCGGGAAGGTGACTTTGGTGCTGCTAATGCAGCGGTTTGACTTCACCCCCAGAGGCGTAGTCCATTGTCTCTTGAGACAGATGGATGCCAACAACAGCCTGCAGTGGTTCACAGCATTGACACCCCAAGAGGGTCTTGCTTCTCCCATAGCCACAGCCTTGGCTCCCAGCTTCCCAGCCTGCATTCTGCCATCTTCTACCTTCTAGCTTACATAACTACCAGTGGGTTGAGGGAAGGGGAACCACCCATTTTCTGTCTGCCACAGAGCCACTTCCTTTGTTATCTTAATGGCCCATACTTAGAGGTCTTTGACCTCACCAGGAAGCTAGCCTGGCTATTCCAGGAATTGAATCTGTGCTGGATCCAGGAATCAGAAGGGTCTCAGGCATCAGCCTGTCCACCCCCAAATGCATAACAATATAAAGGGCTCTTGTAGAGCAGAGGGCAGAGGTCTCTGCTCCACACACATTAGCAGCATATCCATTCTGAGCCTTCTGTAAATAAAAATTGGATTGCAGGATTTAGAGGTTGCTTCAAAACCATTACATCACTCTTAAAGGACCTCGCCCGCCCCCCGTCCCCCGGTATTTATGGGATTTGACCAGCATAGCATGGGGGGGGATTTCAGAAAAGTGGCAAAATGTCTGGGATTTGGGGGATGATTTTGAATACTTGAAAAACCTTCCTCAATTTAGTATTCTTTTTGGGGGGGCGAGGGGCTCTTTTCCCTTTTCATTTCCTACTCTCAAATATGCTTGCTGTTAGCAGTAATACATAAAGATGCCATCATAAAAATTCAAATGAACCAGGAGTTCAAACTGTGTGGATCCAGTGCTCTCACTGAGCACATGCGAATGAAGACCTTGAGACCCTCACAAATAGAATTCTGCTTAGAATGCAAGAGATGCGGGAAGAACGTTCTAGACATCTTTCTACTTGTAAGGGTGACACCATCATGTGCCCTCTTTTGAATGATGCTCCGCTATATAAAATATCCTGCTGAACAAGGTATATTTTTTTGCTTCCAACAGACCACGCATCCATTCCTGTTTTATCAAAGCATGGTGTGCGATTGAACTTCACCTCAGAGAACAGCTTAAGCTACAAATTATTACTTTGTGAAATTGGGGGAAGCTTGGCAAAACTCTACATGCAAATTTAGCCTTATTTATAAACTCTCTAATGGGATGTCACGTGTTTTACTGTGAGACTGTTCAATTAATAAAAGAGCTTTCCTCAGCACCTATTTTCTGAAGCAGTGTCCATATGCTATAGTCTAAAAGGCTAAAGGTTTTCAAACACATTTACTGACAGCCTGCTGAGCAAAAACAGTTGCCAAAACTAATATTTTGCCACTTTTTCTGCAGGCTCTTATATTTTTATTGAAAGTTGAATATGAAATGCGATAATTCATCCTTATTTATTTGGTCAAAGTTTGTGAGGAGATTGTGTGATTTCTACTTTTGTTGTGCATTCATTCATTGTGATTTGTTTGCAGGGAGGTTATACAAGGTTATACAATATGCAAGGTTATATATGCAGGGAGGTTATACAAGGTCACATCAAGCATGTTTTTATCCACATTTTCAAGTGCATTTTCACAACACTTTTCTTACTGCAAATAGTCCAGTTTGGGTGAGTAAGAGGGTGTTGTTGCACTAGAGCACCAAATCGGCTTTAATTGCACAGCCTGAATTTCTCAGGATGTGGCTGAATCCAGTTCTACATCCTATTACTTCAATAACCTCACTGCAAGTTTATGGTCTGTATCCCCCAAATCCACAGCAATCTGTCAAGGAGCTGTCCG